AATAATGACGGTTTACTATTGTCCTCTTTTTAGAGCTGCTCTACAGCAGAACTGAACTGTTTGCATCACTGAATTATTATTTTCCTGTTTATCTCTGTAAAGTTGCTTTGAAACTGTATTGTATAAATGCTATTTATAAATAAAAGTGACTTGAATTCATTAAGGTGTTCAGCCTGACAGACGCCTGTTTCAAGAAATACTGGTCGGATGCAATGCTCTGTACAATTTCTGTAGAAAAAAGCTTCACTGTGGATAGAAGCTGATGAGAGGATGTTTTAGGCCACTTGTTTTGGTCCTGTTTCCAAAATTTTACCATCTTCTGCTTCACTGGCTGCTTTGCCTATAATCTGGAATTCAAATGTGAAGTATAGGGCATAATGGAAATTAGTTTTTGTAAACTAATTCCTGTCACACCAGAGCAGTACTGTGGAGCAAAGCACCTGCAAACGAAAGCTCTGAAAAACAAAGGTACTGATCAAGCAAGTTCATGAGAAAAAGGTACCGACTTTGATGCAGAGATTTATACAAGCACCTGAGGATTCAAATTGATGACAGACTCGAATGGACCAAGAACGCTGAGGCAATTTACATGAAGTGTCAAGCAAAGTTTATGTAAAGCTTCAGGTCCTGCAACGTGTGCAGTGAGAGACATCAGTCTGTCAACACTCATGTCCTGATCTAAACTGGAGAAGCCAGCCGGCTGAATAAGGTCATCCAGAAGGCAGACTGTTATTGAGGCAGATCAAAACAATCTAGAGATGATGTCCAAACTAATGACTATCATGAAGAACAAATCCTAACACTCTACTAGAGTATTTAGAAAAACACATCAGTTAAGTTGTATCTTTATGTAGAACTTCTTTAAATAATAAACAAAACGCCAAACCAATTTAGGTTTAGGTTTTGTCCGATATGTATTTATCCTCATGGACCATATTTCTGTAGTGCTCCTCCATTGAACCGCATACAGTAGTGATGTGTCATTCGCGAATGAATCGGCTCTATGAGTCGGGTCCTTTAAGTGAACGATTTGAGTCGGTTCCCATTTGAGAGCCATTTTCTCAGACGGTTCTCTGCATTTTTTTAATATAAGACAAAATAATGGAATGATATATATATATTTTTGCTACACTGCTTGTTAGCCACGCACACTTCATGTACTGACTTGCTTTGATATCTGTGTGTGTCAGGGTTCTGTCACTTTGGTCTAGTTCATTCGTGGTTTTGTGACAGAGCCCTGACACTCCTGTCATGTCTTGCTTTCATGTCTTGTCTGCGTGCCCTGTTTCCTTGTTTCATGTTGGGGCGTGGTGTTCGGATGCCGGCACTCATTGTCTTGTTCAGTTTCGGTTTCATGTCAGTTTCGGACACTCACACTCCATGTTCTGTCTTGTTGTTGGAGTCTCGAGTTTGCTTGGGCTGTGTGCTCTTCTGTGTGGGTTAGTGTTCGGCCGCGTGCTTTCATGTTGTCATGTTTTGTGTGAGCACGCGGCTTATACGTGTTCATGTCTTGTTTTGGCTTGTGATAGTTTTGCTTTGTGTGAGCACATGGCTTTTCTTGTTTGTTTCCATGTGCTCTCATGTCTATTGTTTAACCCCGCCCACCTTGTTACCTGATTATTGGTTTATTTGCCCCACCTGTCTTCCCTTGTTACCTGCCTTGTTTGCTCCCTATTTATTCTCTTTGTGTTTGCAGTCCTGGGCCAGTTTGTCTTTGTCGAATGTTGTCTTTTTCCTTTGTGCCTTGTGCTGCCTTGCCAGTCTTGTTGCCAATCTGTTTTCCCCTACAGGTAGTTTTTGTTTGTTTTGTTTATTGTTACTAATAATAAAGCCCTTCATTCCTGCATCGAGTCCTCACCTCATCCCTACACCCCAACATTGACAGAACGAACTGGCCAAAGATGAGGACTCAGCAGAAGAAGCACTTGCGCCATCCACCAGCCTCCACTTTCTCCAGCTCCCTCTACCAGCGCATGCTCCAGTTCAAGACCTTGAGCTCCCTCCATCAACGGGAGACTGACGTGAGGGAGTTTGCCTTGGAGTTCAGCACAATGGCAGAGGGACTGGGGTTCAACGATGCGGCCCTCAAGGACCTTTTTAATTTTGCCCTTGAAGAGCCCCTCAATTGGTGGAGGATGAGAGGGCTGGATCACCTGACGTTTGAGGGGTTCGTCGATTTCCTAGCTCGTCAGGGGAAGCCTCCAGCCAAAGAGGCTGCAGCGCCCCCAGAGGCGGCTGATGATGCTGCAACACCCCACTCTTGTAAGCAGAGGAGGAGGAAGAGGAAGCCTTCCTCCCTCCCACATGGCCCGGAGGCCATCCCTGAACCGCCCAAGCTTCCTTGCCTTGCCGGCGCCGCCCAAGCTCCTTGCCCTGCTGGCTCCAGCCAAGCTCCTTGCCCTGCCTTGTTGCTTAAGCTCCTTGCCCTGTCTGTGCCGCCCAAGCTTCTTGCCCTGCTGGCACCGGTCTTGCCTCCTGCTCTGCCAGTGTCACCCTCGGTGTTGGTTCAGTCCTTGATGCAGGCACTGACCTTGCTGCCTGCCCAGTTGGTCCTGCCCTGGTTTTCAGCCTTCAGCCTTCTTTCTTTGCGTGAACATTTGGGCGGCGTTATGTAAATCTTCCCACATAGTGATGTAGACATGTGGGGGCGTGTTAGAATGAGCCATTTTAGGTAGGCGTGGTTGACACTTAACTTTTATAAAGAATATCTCTTTGGATTTGAGACTTTAGTCTTTGCATCAACTTATAATCATGTTTCTATGAATTATCCCGTGAACTTATTCTCTCAAATGGCCTGGCTATGCGGAGCATTCGCAGCTTATATGGACGGAACGCCACTGGTGTGTGTGTGTGTTCACTACTCAATGCTGACTGTGTGCACTTGGATGGGTTAAATACAGGGTACAAATTCTGAGTATGGGACACCATACTTGGCCATGTCACGTCACTGACATCAACAGAACTCCGTTCCACTTCACTTTAAGACACACACTCGCAAATTTCCCTAAGCACTTCCCCTCGGGAATCGGAAGTTTATATGGACAGACCCTTGACCCCTCGATTTTGACCGAGTGAGCGAATCTGCTTCATATGTACAATTCAGGCCGCTCCATATACCACAAACATAATTGTGATGTCATCGCAGATCGCGTTTAATTTTTCCCACTCCACACAACTCTATGATATATCAATTTCTAAATATTCAAAACGGCCCAAACCTATATAATGGTCCATCAAACTAATCTGTTAGGAAAAATAATTTAAGTAATAAATTAATAAACACAACAGATTCTAAGTGATAAGTGCTCATGCCGTTTCAGACAAATCGGAATTTGGATTTTCCCCACTTCCTTCTGGGAAATAATGTCTGGAACGCCACTCAAAGTGGGATATTCGACCTCTGAACTCGGGGTACATCGATCAACCCTGACCTCAGCGAAGCGCGTCATTTGAAGTTACTTCCAAGATGGCGATAAGTCCTGATTCTAATGAGCATAAACGTAAAAACAAACTTTAACATTAGACATTGTTTATGTTTTTGCCTTTTGTCTGCTGTTTTCAAATAGATTTTGATATTTTTATTCTGTTTTGGCATAATTGACACAAAAACGCGATGGTCAACATGTGAATATGACGTCTGATTGACTGGAACTCACTGAGGTCTGAAGTGGGACATTTAATTTGGGATATTCCCACGTCCAACCTAGTCGGTAGTGCAGCATTAGTACATTAATGCACGCAGTCCGCCAGTAGTGGGTACTCATGCAAAGTAATCAATGACATCCGAGTCAACGAGACGGAGGGAAGTTAGCAAGGCCAGGGCATAAAAAAAATAACTGGAATGCAGCACAGATTCAACACACATGCACAATGTGAATATGTTTCAGGGTTAATAGCTGCAACAATACAATTGTATTGGATGCTTCTGTTCTGCACACTGTAATTTAGTTTTTATTTGTTATATGGCACACTGTGACCCATTTTGTGTATGTTAATAATAGTTTGTATTTTGGATAAGTCACGAACGTGTGTTTAATGTTTTTACATACATTAGGTTTTTATACCAAAAAAAGTAAAATTATGGTATTTTGTAAAGTCTGAATTCCCATCACTAGCACACAGGAAGGTAAATGCCGCCACCTTTTTGAAAAGTCACTAAGCCTCTAGAAGTGAGAAGGCAAAAAATAGTAATGAATTATTGGGTCTCATTAAAAGGACATGGGGATATACACCCAACTAAGTCTGTGTTTCATGAGAGCTGGGAACATACCCAAGGCAACATCAAAAGCATAGGCTGGACAGGAAATAGAATGACCCAAATAATGTGTATAGATCAGTGGAAATACACTCAGATTGTGCCTCCATGGTTGTTTCCTATGCCATGTATATATACACACGTACAAGAAATAATTAAAGAAAATAAGGATAAGACAGTTAAACATTTAGTAAATCAATATATAAAACAAAAATATAGTAATATTTTAGATATTTTTACAAATGGATCAAAGGACCCAGAATCTGGAAAAGCAGGAACAGCAGTATATGTTCCAAAATATCAGGTAGCTAAAAAGAGAATTTCAGATCATTTAATGGTGTTTACAGCTGAGCTTGCGGCAATATAACTGGCTCTACAGTGGGTGGAAGAAACGAGGCTAGACAAGGTAGTCATATGCTCTGACTCTTTAGCAGCTCTAAAAAGCCTGAAATATGGTCATTCTTACTGTAGACAGGATATAATATATGACAACTAGTGGCAACTAGTGTACATACTGCATAATCAAGGAAAGATAGATAAGAATAGATCTCGCTCTGTCACTATTTCCCCTGGTGTACCCCAAGGTTCTGTACTTGGTCCACTTTTATTTCTCATTTATGTGCTGCCACTGGGTCAGATCATCAGACGTGATGATCTCAATTTTCAGTTATTCTGATGATATTCAAATTTATTTTACGGTTCAGCCCAACTCAGTTTGTCCACCCCTTTCTATTGTTTCCTGTCCTCAAGAACTTAAAACCTGGATATCAGATAACTTTTTACAACTAAATGCAGACAAAACCGAAATCCTGTTGGCTGGCCCTAAATCACAGAGCTACCCCAGCATTATATTTTCATTGATACTGATAGTATCCAGATTAGGCCCTCAACAACTATGTGAAATTTGGGAGTATTGTGTATTGTACCTTACATTACCAATATAAATTATGAAAATACAGGGAATTTAATTAAAAACTTATAATATACATACATTACAATAAATTGGTACTTAATAATAATAATAATAAAATAACCATTAAATAAAATATTGATACCAATAAGCAGAAAAAATATCACATTAAGTTTTATAATGAAAATGAATTAATGTCAAATTCTTACAACCCACAAGCATAATATTTATTATCTATAGCCTTTATATTCTCTAATGCTTTGTTGACATTACACAATTATACAAGATGTTTAAAAGTTCTTAAAGATTTGATTCAAGAGTAACAATGAAGCACAAGAGTTTTAAGGTTTTTACATTGTAAACAAGTAATTATTATGGAAGCCCGTTTTCACCACTGAATAAAAAATAAAACAAGGTAATTGCGACTTATTATCTCACAATTCTGACTTTTTACTTAGAATTGCCTGATTTTATTAAGAAATGTAATAAATTATGAAGAAATTTAATGAATGTGAATTTAATGAGTCAAAGTCTGTTGATTTCCAGGGCATTATTTTCTTGTATTACAGCGACCTGTAAATGAAAAATTTTTGCTATTACATATCATAATTGTATAAATGTAACCTATTTGTGCAGCATATGTCATAAGTTATTGTACAGTTGTGAGAACACACTCACGTTTGCCAGCGTTCACTTTCCGCATCACTTCCTCTTTAGGAGTTTGAGACCAACTCAATGTCACGTCTGTGAATCCTCTATCAGCCAGAGCAGATCCCAACTGGAAATAACATTCATACTAAACTGTTTAGATCAGAATATGACAAGACATTCAGATCTTCCTCTTATCTTTTCTTGTGTCATGTCCCAAACTGTACTTTTGTAAAATCATGTCTCTTTAAAATGTGAGAATATTGTAAATTTGTTCATGCTGTAAATAGTTTGACTGAATAATCAATAGGTGATCAGCACTCCTGTCAGTGAACCTTTGTATCATAATATACACAACAGCTGATTTTGTTTTTAATAAATTCAGGTCATAATATTTAACAATGCAATTAGTGTTTGTTTTCTCATCACATGTTACTTTTTTCTCACCTGCTTCAGAACGATTTCTGTCATTGTAGAGTCGGTCAAATCTTTGCTGGAGTGAAACATCAGTTTTACAAATGATCTTTTTAAACAGGGACCTAGAAAAATATATTCATATATATGTAAATTCATTAAAAAATCTTAAGAAATATGGTTTGCACCCTACAAATGAGGTTGCATTTATTCAAACTTATCCACACTCCTCACTGCGTCATATTGCATCATCAAAAATTTGATGACGTAAACACATTATATATTATAAACCAATTTTACTGATGTATACCTTCTCCATAGACCTTCACCTCACACAGAGTGAGTGTCTTCATGTCTCCAGGAACGATCAGATTCAAGTAACGTCCCTCCATCCCATCACACGAGTAGCTGTAGGACTCACCTGCTGGAATAGCAGGAATAACAGCACATCTACAGACAGAAAGAGATGAGGGATATAATAAATACTGTCATATCCACATTAATCCTTCACATTTGTGCTTGACATCTCATGCTCTTTCAACCTCAAGTTTCTCACATGGGATTGTTGGTGCCATTGTTCTCCAAAGAGTTTCCGATGCGAATCTCTGTTCCGTTTAATCGTTCTGCACAGCAGTCTTTTCTATTAGTGATGACCACTTTATTAACTCTGTAAATATGACGCAGATCCAGCCTCCACCACGGGTTATTCTCAGGAATGGTTGAGGAGCATCCCGTATACAACTGTTGGAGACCTCGATCAATGGCCTTTTCAGCAAACCAGTCTGCAGATGTTGACGACTGTATAGCAGCTCCAGCTACTGCCAGATTTTCTAAGAAATGTATGAAAAAAATGTCACGACTTGTCTTGATGCACAAAGTTTGCAGCAGAGGGAAAGATTATTGAGGAACAACGACTGGAGGTGAAGTGAGTTATTACTGCATCAACTACCCTCACCAAACTGAATTGTGAAAATTATGATTTTGTGTTGCTTTATACTAGTATGTTTCAAGTATAGCATGATATTACATGAATTATATGTTAATGTAGAATATTGAATATAATGCTCTACAACAATGAATTACCTGCCAAATACCCGTAGACTTCAACCTCACAAAGAGTAAGAATCTTCCAGTCTCCAGGAATATGAATAATCATGTAACGTCCCTCCAATCCATCACATAAGTAGTTGTTGGACTCACCTGCTGGAATATCAGGAATAACAGCACATCTACAGACAGAGAAACATGAGGGATATAAAAATACTGTCATATCTGTTTCAATCCTTCATATTTGTGTTTGACGTCTCGTGTTCTTTCAACCTCAAGTTTCTCACATGGGATTGTTGGTACCGTTGTTCTCCAAAGAGTTTCCGATGTGAATCTCTGCTCCGTTTATCTGTTCAGCACAGCAGTCTTTTCTGTTAGTGATGACCACTTCACTAACTCGGTAGACATCACGCAGATCCAGCCTCCACCACGGGTTAGTCTCATTAAGGGTTGAGGAGCATCCCGTATACAACTGTTGAAGACCTCGATTACCATCAATGGCCTTTTCAGCAAACCAATCTGCAGATGTTGACGACTGTATAGTGGCTCCTCCTACTGCCCGATTTCCTGCAAAATTAATAAAAACTGGTTGTGACCCATGTTTATGCACAATTCGAATAAGATTTGAGGGCAACAGTGGAGGAGATGATGGTGAAGCATGTAATTTGTGCACCAACTAGCCTACTGTTACCAAACGGAATTACAAACACAATGACTTATTATCTAACAACGTTCTTCACAACTATATACAAAATAATTAGACATCCCTAGTAACTCATTACATCATTAGTACCAACAACCTGGTGGAAATATTACCAATATCTTCAATAACAACCATTTGGAATAAAAAGAATGTTGACTTGTTGATTTGTCTGATAAATTTGTCTGATGAATGCGTTTAACATGATGAATCAACAGAATTATGTGCTCAAGCCCCACGTTTATCAGAATCATCTGTACATAAGATGCCAATAAAGCATGAATACTGTGTTACATCCTCTGGACATAATTGTTTATTATTTATTATTATTTATCTTTGCTGTGGTGATGTGTTTGTGTATTGTGCAGTTTCCCTTCTCTCTCTTTCCCTTTCCCTCTGCGCAGTGTTAATTGGACGCAGGTGATGATTATGTGGATAATGGAGCGCGCTTAAAAGCTGAGGAGGATGGCACTGAAGGGTCGGTCGTTCGACATGTGGGCCATCGGTTGACTTGGTTCGGTGTTGTGAGCTCGCTGTGTGCCCGCCGTCTCCTGCCCCAGACATTCATCGCATTTGTTGTCTTTGCGGTAGCTGTTGGGTTGCTGCCGTTTTGAGTGAGAGTTCTTTGTTCTTGTGTTTGCTTTAAGGTACTTTGTTTGTTTTGGAAGCCGTAGGGAGGAAGTTGCCGTTTACTTTATGATCCCTTGTTTTCTCCTGTTTTTGGACAGCTAGGGAGTAAGGGAGACTAATGTGTTTTGTTTTGTTAGGTAAGTTAATCTTTAATTATGTCTTAGTTAGTTTCTCTTTTGTTTGTTATTTTGGCCATAACCCCTCCTGAAGATTCACGCTTCCTGGTACATGTTACTTTGTGAATTAAAAGCTTCTTCCTTTAAATATACTCTCGCTCCGTCGTGTTTGTGTGAGCTGCGACAGGAGAGGGGCGGGCATGGTTGCTAAATTTTCTTTATTTGAATTTCTTTGTCCGGAATCCCCGACCCTAGACTGGGGAGGACGTGACAACTGTCATACTGGTTTGGAAGGACATGGTTGTTGTTGTGTTTTTTTTATTTATTTTTTTTGGTTAACTATACATTTCAATTAAGTTTCTAAAGAAGTATTTATTGCATTCAATAAAGTGCTCTGCAACAACAAATTACCTGCCAAAGTCCCGTAGACTCCAGCTTCAACAAGACTAAGAATTTTCAGATTTCCAGGAATCTGAACAACCATATAACGTCCCACCATCCCACCGCATGAGAAAGTGGCCGTGGCACCGGCTCCAAGAGTAGAAATCACACCACATCTACAGACAGAAAGATAATGTTATCCATTTCTGTTCTTCCTTCACATCAGCCACAGAAATCAAATCAAAAAGAAATTCTCACATGGTGTTGCTATAAATGTCAAGAAAGTTCCCGATACGAATCACAGCTCCGTTAATCCTCGAATAGCTGCTCGGTCTATTAGTGATGGTGACTCTGTTAACTCTGTATACTTTCAGTAGATCAACTCTCCACCACGGGTTGGTCTGTTCATTAGTGTGGGTCCAGCTGTTCAACAATCCATCAAGAGCAAATTCAGGTTCAGAGCCTGCGTAAGTTGATGACTGACTAGTTTTGCCCCATAGTGCTACATTCTCTGGAAAAAATTCATGGATAAAGGTCAATAAGAAGCCATCTACTACTGCAGAAGACTTTTACCAAACTAGTCTTTATTACTCGTCATCAGCAACATGTCCACCACAGGGTCAGAAATTAAGGGTTAAAGGGTTAGTTCACCCAAAAATGAAAATTAGCCCATAACACAACAGCTACAGATATTTAAAACACAAGGGTAAAAGAATGATAGTGAGCATCTTTTTTATTATTTTGGATAGCAAACATTTGTTACTTAGTATAATTCTAATCTTGCCCTATATATCATGATGGGTTTGGTATGTTATATTATACAAAGAGCAGTATAATCTGACATTAAAAAAATTGTAAAGGCTGTTCCTGAAAGATCAATTTTGGAGGGAAATAATGCCTGTTAATAAGAAGTGAATTTTCTGACTTTAGTCTATCCAGTATCAGGGAACTTTAACAATAAAAATACTATAAAACTGGTCATCTTACTGCATCAGAGCTTCATTACAGTACTAAATTTCTAAGTACATTTATATCTGACCGTTTAACAGACAAAACAGAACAAAAGTGTTAAAACACTGAAGGTTTCTTACCTTCTTGTCCATGTGCCATTTCCTCAATCAATAAAAACCCTGTGGAAAAAAAAGTGAAACAACCGGGTTTTGTTTAATCACATTCGAATTTGCATTTTCAATTTAATTCACCTTGATATTGCCACTAATAATCAAAAGCATTGTCTGAATGATAATGGAAACATAAAGCATTGATGTATGTAATGACCATGTTGGATGAAAACATTGACACATTTGGGGTGACCATATTTAAAGGGTTAGTTCACCCAAAAATGAAGGTGGGGGCAGGAGGCAGGGTTTCGCCTAACAGTATAGGTAGCAAGGTTTTTTGTTTGTTTGCTTGTTTTGTTTTTAGAATAAATTAAAACAAGTAGATAGAATAGAAAAAGAATGGGGAATTCTGGTGTTCGAGGCTCATTTTAAAATAGAAATAAAACAAGTCAATAGAACAGAAAAAGAATAGATAATGCATGCGTTAGAAGGTCATTATTTATAATAAATAAAAAGAAAATAAGTAGAAAGAACAGAGAATGCTAGTGTTAAAGGCTATTTTCTTTTTACATAAAACAAGTAGTTAGAATAGAAATAGAATAGCGAGTGCTAGAGTTAGAGGGTCAAATGAAGATGAAAGAGATGTATTTTCAGCCGTTTCTTGAAAATGATTAAGGACTCAGCTGCTTGGATTGAGTTGGGCAGGTCATTCCACCAGAAGGGAACAGCTAATGAAAAAGTCCATGAAAGTTTTATCACAGGTTGAATGCAAAATATTTCAATACAGCCATTTCAGTCAAATGTATTTTATGCAATATTTCAAACCTTTAACCCACTTGGGAAAATCAACACATGGCAACAGTTTAAAAGTAGCCCAATTCTGTGTAAAAAAAAAAAAAAATGCTCATTCAAAAGAGATTTAAATACGCCGCATACTGAGAGCGGCTCCCAAAATTATACACAATATTAGAATGTTTAAAGGAGTGGACACGAAAATCATGGTAGCGAAACACGTTGCGGGAGCAGGCGGCAAATGTCGGAAATTCAGTGGGAGCAGGGTAAAGAAAGCAGCCGAATCCAGGACATTTTGGGCGATTAAGAAATCCCAGCCGGACACATATTTTAGGTCCAAAAAGAGGACATGTCTGGGGAAAAGAGGACGTATGGTCACCCTAGACACATTTAATAATACAGATAATTATTAATGTGTCAGTGGTTTTATCCAACATGGTCATCAAGCAGAAGAATGAAATCTAAAGTGGGACGAGGACACGTTCGTGTGAATCACTACCAGACTTGCTGGACAAACATAGTCATAAAGACTGTCAAACAATTTACATACACAAATATTTAACATAAGATTTGTTTGTTAAAGTAGATAAAAAGATTTAGGGGCAGTATTTTTTTTTTTTAAAGAACTTGATACTTTTATTCATCAAGGATGCATTAAATTGATCAAATGTGCCAGTAAAGACATTTATCAGGGCTGCCAACTCTCACGCATTCAGTGTGAGACTCGCGCAATTGACACTTTTCTCGTACCACACGTCCATTTTCTACATGTTCTTTCAGTGGAAAGCACCCTAAGTTGAAAATGTAATAGGACATTGGTGAAACAGATTTGGAAATGCTCCAGTGCGTATTTGTGGTTGCTCTCCGGAGAACGTGAAAAGTTTCTATTTACAACGTGTTTTTGTATAGTTGAGCAATGTAGCCAATCACAGACAGATCTGTTGATTCTTGAACACCTCTGATTGGCCATTCCGTTCAAATAAACGCCGGATTTTGTTCTGCACGCTCGCGAATCCTCACACTGTAACACAAGAGGTTCAATGATTATAAAGGAACTTTGTGAGATAGCGATGAACTGAAGTGACACCTTTTTAGTGATTATAAAGGAAGTGCTCTTTGCACACTTTCTAGGCTAAATATAATCCATTCAGAATTTGAATAAAAGCTGTTTTTCGTGCTAGGGGCCATATACCCTGTACAAGCAGCAACGTTTCAGGAGTGACATATAAATCCCTCATCCCTCACATAAATGCAGGATTCATTTTCAAATGGGAGAAAAATATAATTTGTCAAAATAGATGTACAAAAGGTTTCCATTTCAAATAAATGCTGGTCTTTTAAACTTTTTATTCATCTGTGAATCCTTAAAAATAGAATCAATCACGTTTTCCACAAAAATATGAATCAGCACAACTGTTTTAAACATTGATAATAATCAGACATGTTTCTTGAGCAGCAAATCAGCATATTAGAATGATTTCTGAAGGATCATGTGACACTGAAGACTGGAGTAATGATGCTGGAAATTCAGCTTTAAATCACAGAAATAAATTAAATTTGAACATATATTCACATGTGTGGTTTAAAAAACAGCTTAATTATAGACAAGCATGAATGTATGAAACAGCAACTGATGTAGATTATTTAGGTTAGTTTGGCCAGAAATTTTAACACTTTATAATATGCTGTAAATCCACATTAGAGGACGAGATGAGTGTTAACATCTCTGAACAAAGGAAAACAATACAGAAAACTAAAATATCAGTGTGAATGTAGTAAAATAGCAGATACATGAATGTTGTACGTTACCCAGTAAGATCCACAGGCACTTGTAGAGCTTCTTCATGGTTGATTAAAGGAGTCTGTCTTTCTTTAGTATGAAGAGTGTGAGTGATATACGTTTTATAGAGAATGATCTGTTTAAATGTACATCACATGACCAATCTGATCTCTCCTCCCTTCAGGCAAACTCGACTGTCTCTCATGTTTCAATCAAACACACTGTATTTGTTACCTTGCCCTAATCTCTACTGGAACTATGTGAAAACAATGTTTTGTTTCTCTGTTTTTGCCACGGGATTGACACAAGCTTCAGTCTGGATCCAGAACACCTGAGAAGAGATGATGCCAACCCCTCAGAGGACCTCAGATGATGCCAACCCTGAAACAACATACAGAACTACCACATTTTGCTATAAGTTTGATTGCATCATATAATAATTGCTGTTAATAGTGTTCATCGTCTGTTTTATTACGTCTTAAATTGATTTTTCCGTACATTTCTGCCATATGAACATTAACTGACAGTCACCACTGATAAACTACCACTAAATATTGTAGAAACTTAATTTGCTGTAAAGTTGCTTTGCAACGATTTGTATCGTGAAAAGCGCTATACAAATAAACTTGAATTGAATTGAATTGAACTTTGATGAGCGGCAGACAGAAATCACTTTCTTAATAACTCTTCACTGAAGGAGATGCAGGCAGTTCCAGCCATCTTTTGATGATTCAAGGCAACTCCTTCTATGAAAAATGAGTCGTCGCTGCTATTTGAAGCTTTGGCAACGTCAATTTGATTTACAGTGTTTTTTAGATTTCGTGTGCGATGAACTTTTGCTGATTTGCAGCATTTTTGGAAGTGATTCCATTTAGTGCACCTGTGACATTGCTGGCCGTATGCAGGACATCTTTCTGTTTTTGCCTCGTGATCTTTTCCACAATTGCTGCAATTATGAATTTGATGTGGAGAATGCTTGTCTGACTTTTGTTTGGGAGTCCGAAATGGTTTTCTTTTTACAGTTTGTTGAACACTGTCCACATTTGCCATGTTGTGCTTCGGTCCAGCAAGTGTTTTGGTGTGCTGGTCTGTCAGTTCATGTATTTGGCATATTTCAATGGCTTTTGCTAATGTTAGTTCATTGTCACGTAACGGGAGTTTTCTCATTCCGTCATTAAGTATCCCACACACGAGTCGAACTCTTATCAATTCCTCCTACAAATCTCCAAACCTGCAACTCTGTGCCCTATTTCGTAGGTCACTTACCTATGCCTCTATTGTCTCTCCTGGCTTTTGGTTTCTTGAATTAAATTTGTGTCTTTCCATCGTTATATTTGTTTGTGGACTGCACAGTTCGTGAAACTTGTGTTTTAGACATTCCGGGTCTTCAGGTGACTCAGCCGGAGTGATCACTCGTCTGTTTTCTCCCTCACCCACATACACAGTGGGTGCATACGCAAACGTTCGTTTGCATTCAATGGCCTCCGAGCCAGCCAGATTTAGTATGAATGCTTTCGTGCGCGGCTCTTTTTCTGAGTGTGCACCAGCAATAAATATGTCAAATACCTGCTCAAACACATGCCAATTTTCGGCGATATTGCCATCAAAGTCCAGTGGATCAGGTCTACAAAACCCATCAGCCATGTTTTCTTGTGCGATGAATGATGGCTTACTGTGTGTCTGCTCGTTGGGAGAATTTATTTCCCTTCGCTGCTTTCACGATGCTGCACGCACCACTTCTGACACCATGTCGAATGATGAGCGGCAGACAGAAATCACTTTCTTAACTCTTTACTGAAGGAGATGCAGGAGTTTTACATACAACATGAACTTCACCGTAACCTCACTCGCGCATGCGTAGCGGCGAGCTTCATGAACTCAGTGTTCTGTTGCTTTAAATTTAGCCGCACTATCATGTTCTACAGTTGTTGTGCACATCTTTATTGCCATGTAAACTGTGCAAGAACATGCAAGAATTGCAGATCTGTGCAACACATATTATGTTCAGCACAGATTTAAGGAGTTTGTGCTGAAACTCCTGTCAGTTTACACAGACCTACCAAATCAGGTGCAAACACACAGACAAACAAAAACAAAGACAAACAAATAAGCAACTGTAAACTCTATCATCGACGACATTTTTAAGGTGATCATGCTTTTTCCATTGCTCAACAGCTTACCTTTTGACATCAGAGCTTCTCCATCTCTTATGGTTTTTAAAGACTTTGTAAACTTTTATTTGTGTTCTCTAACCTTAGTGTAGTTTAAAAGTCTTAGCATGCATGAATGAATGAACAAATAAATGCTATGTAACACATTAATTAAAGAAAACATCCTAATTAGTCCATTTATACACCAGAAGAGCCAGAGGCATTAGTGGGAATCCATCCATACTGCGTTTACATCCATTTTTATGCAAACTTTGCATTGTCAACTCCAACAGTGGCATAAAGGCGTAATTCACTATAGGCTGAGGTGGATTTTTGTTTTGTTTTAAGTCAACAGATTTTCAGTTCAAAAGAAATGCTATTCGTAACAAGCATTTTTAAAATAAGTATTATTATTTTTCAGTAAAAAAATTAAGATCTAGATATCTAAAAGACATTAATACTTTTTTCAGAGAATATATCTTTAAAGGGGTCATATGATGTTGCTAAAAAGAACATTACTTTGTGTATTTGGTGTAATGAAATGTGTTTATGCGGTTTAAGGTTAAAAAAAACACATTATTTTCCACATACTGTACATTTATTGTTTCTCCTCTATGCCCCGCCTTTCTGAAACGCGTC